AAAGAGTGTTCTGCTGCTGTATGATATAAAAGACCTGGTTTTAGTACCATTTTGTTCAGCTATTCAGCTAACGTTTAAAATACCAGTGAAACACAAAAACTTTCCCTTGCATAAAAGGGCATTGTTTAGTAGAAAACAGTAAAGGGTATTGCGTTATAATGTTATGTGCAAGAGAGCACTAATGAGTCCAAACAAACCCTAAGGGAACACGCAGCTCCCTACAGCTCTAGGCTTCCTTATCTTATATATACTGTTGCAAGTAATTTAAAGTCTATAGGGCCAGATATGTGAAAGTCTGTATTCATGAAAGAACTCTCTGGAGACTGATACTGCCAAGTATACATTGTTGTTTTGTTTGAATCGTGTGAAACATTTCTTTACCGATTCCGAGATACTATTATGCCACATTGAAAGCAACCAAATTCAGACTCATAGTGCCATATGTTCTACATGGTTTTGAAGGAGGTGATATGAGGGTACAGTTTAATATTGTAGTGATTTTTTTTCCAGCACTTTCAATTTTCAACAGTCAAACTATATCTTGTCACCTTGCTTATAGGCAGTGTACCATATGAGTCATTGTATGAAAATATCTGAACAAGACTGAAAAGCACATAAGCATTTTAGTGAATTAAGTTATCTTTGCAAAACCTTTTTTGTAGTCACTGTCTACTTGGCTATAAACAAACAACTCACTTGATTGGTACTTGAGTGATCCCCATACGGGAACCCCAGACCTTACAGATGGAAAGCCCATTGTCCCACATTTAAGTACCTTTGAATTATCCAAATTAACATTTTGCCTCTGAACAGTTGTGGCTAATTGACATTTAAGACCTATGTGTAAATGACTCTGCCTTATGCGAGTTGTAGCCCAGCTCAGTCCAGTTAGTGCCTCATTAAACCAGTTGCCTGTTTTCAGCCCTTCACAGCACCAATTTAAAACTTCGCCCAATTTAAATGTATTTATTTGTTTACACTAGCAAACTAACTTCCCTTGCAGATAGTCTATTTCATTTTCAGCTTGTAGCCTAAACTTTTCATCAACAGTGAAGAAAACCACTAAAGGTAAACTTGAGTGATAAATACTTTAGTTTTAATATAAGGTTCTATTGTGTTGATATATTACTATTCTTATGCCTGCTTAAACATTTATGAAAGATGTATAATTTACTTCCAAGCATCTGAGTTCATAAAAATACGATTTGGGATGACAGTATTTTGTCATATATTCACAGCATCCCTTTCTATAGTAAACCATTAAACTATTACCTGATTACAGAATACTATCAGTGATGGAAGATGCGGTGGAAGATTATCTAATGTTTTGAGGGTAATTTGAGCCAGGCATAGAAGCATATTTTAATGCAGCCAATAGAATAATCATATCCTCTTTTCACAGTGCTACTTTTCATAGCCTACTAATACCACTTTGTATGCTTTATATTTCTAAATCTTTCCCATCTTGCCAATCTTTCTCTATCTTCTTTCAGCTCCTACAATTTTAGAATCATAAAATCATAGCAAATTAGGGTTGAAGGGATCTCAGGAGGTCATCTAGTCCAACCCCTTGCTCAAAGCAGGACTGTCAATATATAACGTCCTAGCTAAGGCGTTGTCTAGCCAGGTCTTAAGAACTTCTAAGGATGGAGTTCCACAATCTCTCTGGGTAGCCTGTTCCAGTGCTTGACCACCCTCCTACTGAGAGAGTTTTTCCTCATGTCTAACCCAAACTTTCCTTGCTGCAACTTAAGACCATTGCTCCTTGTTTTGTCATCTGCCACCAATGAGAACAGTCTAGCTCCATCCTCTTTATAACCACCCTTCAGGTAGTTGAAGGCTTTTATTAAATCCTTCCTCAGTCTTCTCTTCTCCAAACTAAATAAGCCCAGTTCCCTCAGTCTCTCCTCATAAATCATGTTAGAGGGCTGGGAAACCATTTCTGTTGTCCTCTGAACTCTCTCCAGTTAGTCCATATCCTTTCTGTAATGGGGGATCCAAAGGTAGACACAGTACTCCTGCTGTGGTCTCACGTATTGGCGAATACAGGTTTCCCTCACTTTATGCAGGTTCTGTATGTGTGAATTCTCTCTTATGCAATGACCCTTTTAATGCCAAAAATTCATTATATGCGAGGTAAATTCACTCTTATGTGATCGGTGTGGTGGAAGCCTGCAGTCAGCTGCTTTGTGCAGTGCATTGTGCAAGTGACGCGCACCAAAATGTAGTTTCCTGTGTGAATCTGTGCACCTCGCTCGTTGTTTGCGACACGTTTCTGTAGTTGCCATCCCCATTATAATAGTGCCCAGTGCTTGTGCGTACTGTCTGATGTTGGCAAGTACCAAAATAGTCTTGTAAAAGTCATAGAAATAGGTCTGGGGTTCAGTACGGTAGAGGTCTTGGAACATATTCCTATTTGTTACATTTTAAAGTGAGTTCCCCTTATGCGGATTCAAGTTGCATGCCATTTTCCAGGAATGCATGTACAGTGTAAAGCAAGGGAAACCTGTAGAGGGGAATAATCACTTTAATCGATCTGCTGGCAACGGACCTACTAGTGCAGTCCAGTATGCTGTTAGCTTTCTTCTCAGCAAGGGCACATGGTTGGCTTACATTCAGTTTATTGTCCAGTGTAACTCCCAGGTCCTTTTCTGCAGAACTTCTGTTTAGCCAGTTGGTCCTCAGCTTGTACCAGTGCATGGGATTGTTCTGTCCTAAGTGCGGGAGATTGCACTTGTCTTTATTGAACCTCATGAGATTTCTTTTGGTCCAGTCCTCCAGTTTGTCTAGGTCTCTCTGAATCCTAGCCCTGCCCTCCAGCATATCTACTACCCCCAGCTTGGTAGCATCCATCAACTTGTTGAGGGTGCACTCCATCCCATCTTTCAAATCATTGATGAAGACATTGAATAAAACTGACCCCTGGGGCACTCTACTTGATACCAGCTGCCAAGTAGATATAGAGCCATTGATTACTACCCTTTGAGTCCAACAACTCAGCCAGTTTTCTGTCCACCATACAAGTCTATTAATCTAACGTGCAGTTCCTTAGCTTGCTGGCAAGAATGTGGTGGGAGACTGTACCAAAAGCCTTGCTTAGAGTCGAGCTTTCCTGCATCCACTGCTCTCCCCACATCCACAGAACTAATCTTCTCATCATAGAAGGCAATCGGATTGGTCAAGCATGACTTGTTCTTGATGAATACTGACTATTCCTTATCACCTTCTCCTCTAAGTGCTTAGAGATGGATTCCTTGAGGATCTGCTGCATAATTTTTTTTTCCAGAGACTGAGGCGAGGCTGACTGGTCTAGTTCCCCAGATCTTTCTTCTTCCCTTTCTTAAAGATGGACACTATTTCCCCTTGTTATGCTTTTTCATACTATTTCCCCATGTTAGGCTTCTAAAAAATCTTACCTTCCACTAATTTTGAACCACTAGGTGTTAATCTTGCTCAGTTGCCTTGCCTTATGACTTGGCTCAAATTTAAATTTTAACACTTTAAAAACACATATGGAGCATAACAAGACAGACGTCAAAGGAATGCTCCATCATTTTGCTTTAATTGCTTTCCTTTGCCCAGCTCTCTGTTGCCTACTTAAATTGGAAAACATTTCCATGCGATCCTATTTTACGTGTCTTTGAAGCACCATGTATACAAATTGCTGTTTGAGTGAGAGTTTTGTCGTCTTCTGTTTAAGTACTCTGACAGCCATCATTGTATTTCCCTCAGTCTTTATTTCATATTGGGATTATAAAATATGAATTTTAGTATGCAGCAACTGTACAAGACATTTAGAACTATAGTCAAAATTTGGATTTCTGAACCTGAAAAGGCTACATGTTAACTTCTAACTATGCTATCAGGGAGAAAACTACTGAGCATAAAAAGTGCATAATATATTGAAAATTTGGAATAGCTTGGGGCAAGAACTTGCTATGAAAAATGCTGGATTTCATCCCAGTGGTTGGTTGCTGTTCTGTTACCTGTCAGGGAACCCCAGTGTTCTGCTATGGATATGTAGTGGGGCCTCAGCTAAAGAAAACTAGCCTTACTGCTTAGAGTACTTGTTCTATGTCCATGTACCTACCATCACTGTAGGTACACATGTGCCAAGGACATGAAAGGCGGTGCACAATTCCTGTTCCTCAGTTTCTGTCAAGCTGTTATGGACTCAAGACAGGGCACTTTGTTGATTTATTATTCAAAGATACAGCTTTGGTCAAAGCCCTGTTGGCTGCCTATACACGTGCTGGTTTGTGTTCTAACTGGAACACTCAACATTGCCTCACCATCACGGGTATTGGTTCCGTGGCCATTTTTAAACACGTGGGGGCTTAATACATATGGCAGTGAGGCATTTTAATTACAGTGACTCTCTAGGAACTGCTCTAATTAAAACAAAGCATGTGTATAGGCAGCCTTTGAGGGCTTTTACCCCTTTGAAGTTTGTTTTATTTTGGTAAGAAAAAAAAATACTAAGGCCCTCCTTTGACGCACTCCACTTACTTCTAATACTTTTAATATGCTCATCCCTATGATCAGAGGTCTTTCTCTTGTCCATGGTTTGAGATTTTAATTCAGCCAGAGATCCACCTTTTGTAATACTGCTGTCAGCCTTCATTCCAACCCTGAGCATGATTCCACTTTGAGCATGTCTCTGGAGCCACCTCACCAGTCTACAAAGTCTATAAGTAGAGAGCGGTCCAGGTTCTCTAGAGTGCCTTCCCAGACCTCCTGACTTCTGACAGAGTGGCTGAAGGGCTCATAGCCGTCTCTGTTGTGGTGTCACTTTTGGCAATGGGGCCCTCAATTTTCCCCTGTTATTGTGGAGGCCTAAAGTAGTCTTGCTTCTGAGACGGACAGACTCCTGTTTCTTGTGTTGTGGCCGAGAGGAAATTGGCCAAAAATACAAAGTCCTCTGCAGAGGTGCCTGAATGCTTTTATACCCACTGAATGCCTTGTTGGCAACTGTGGCACATTGTGAAATCTAAGCAGCTATTCATCACTAGTAAAGAACAAGAGCCCAAACGTTTTGACTTCTTTGGACAAAAATCAGCTGATCTTTGATTCCAAATGGCTAGCTAGCAAGCTCTTCTGGGAAGACATGGATTCCGTTGCATTGCTGGTACCATTCACTGTTTACCACAGAGTATGTAGTGATCAAGAGATCTCTTCAGGCAGTGCTGGACACTGAATACTGCCTCCTGCTCAGTAGTTATGGAACATTGGTCATGAGTGGTAGGGTTCCAGGTTTCCCAAAGGTGTTACAGAGATGGTTTTACCTTTAGGAGAGGAGTCATACAGCATGATGATAAACTCTCCTTACTCTGAAAGGTTCAAGAGCCACTTTACATACTCTGGAAGCATAGTCCTCAGATCTGAAGAAGAGGCATAACTACTAGACATTTACTGTACCTTGAGGCATTCCTATCAGTCTTCCTCTATTTGGTCCCAGAAAGTATCAGAGTTTCAAGAAGGAAACCGCATTTAGCTGTGCAGTCCATGGCTGTGAAAGAGGATTACCATTGCATCTCAGGAGTTACTACAATAGTTATTTTATGGTCCCAGAGAGGAAAGGGGGATGATGATGCTCCATCCTGACTCTCTAAGAAGCTGTTTTTTTCAAGATGGTGACAGTAGCTACCATTATACTGTCTCCTCTGGGTATCTGTCAACTTTCAGAATCAGTATTTTCATATTGCAAGCAGACTTCCGTGCAGAAAATCTCTATTTTGTGGTAAGTTAGGACATTTACAAAGTCTTTCCATTCAGGCTCTTGCCAGCCACAAGTAGTCTCCAAGGTACTCTGGCTGAATGGTTTTCACAGTTGAGGGGAGGCGGAATGGTCAGGTCACAGTCTGCCTTTTCATAGGTTATTTGGATGGTGAAAGGGGCCTTCTCCAAGCAAGTGTCAGAGATTATTCTCACAACAGTGTAACTGTTCCAGATCCCAGGGCTGTTAGTGAACATACAGAAGCCCAACCTGGCTCCTGTTCGAAGACTGGAGTTCAGAGAACCTACTGCGAACTTCATGACATGTGTAGTGTGTCTCCTACAGGTATGATTTCAGTCCCTGGGAGAACTCCTTTTGTTAGCTGAGCATGAGCCCGCTACAACAGTCAAGACCTTTTTCTTTGTCTTGGTCTATACTGACATGGTGGTGCTGGTGTCTCAGACTTCTCCAGTGCATGTCCTAGTTGTGAGATGTCTGTTTTTTCAGCAGAGAACTGCTAAGTGCCCTGTGTCGTGGAAAAAACACGCTGTAGAATTTGGAATCAGGTCAGGTAGAAACTTTATTTCGATAGCTATCGGAGAGAGACCCTTACAGGAAGATTTCTGTTGTGGCCTCTCTACTTTACATCCAGAGTAATTACCCTTTTATAGATTCAAGACAAAGGGTTGCCTAAACTAACTTTTCCTGCCTTGGGGCTATCTGTCTTGTGTCCTTCAAGACAGTTTAATGGTCATCTTCCTCTTATCTAAGGAATTTCTCTCTCCCCCCTTGAGGCCTTAGCCATCCTTTGCTTCCACACCTGATAACATCCTCCCTTACCCCAATGGTTCAGTCCTCACTCAGGTAGCGGAAGGACCTACCCAAAGTATACAAGGGGTTGCCATTCCTACACTTGCACCTGTTTGTGACTGTTTTATGACAGGTGTGAAAACCTGTCAAGCTTTCCTGCACTACATTTGAGGGAATTGTCTACGCTATTCTGCACAAGACTATAATGTGTGTTATATCAGCAAACAGGATAACACCAGAATGTGCTTCTTAGCAATCCAGTCATGGGAGTGGTGCAGGGACCACTCCCATGCGTATGATTTCAATTCCATCTCATTCAGTAAATAAATTTGATGGCTTTCTTCCTGAGTACTCATTCCTTAAGAGTTGGGGTGCCATTTATTTCTACATGCTTGAAATAAAAAGCTTTGTTCTTCTACCTAAGTCTACCTCAGAAAGCCTCCACAGCCCTTTATCTCTGCAATGAGAGGTAGATATCAAAGGGCACCATTTTATCAGCCCAAAAACTGTCCAGATAATATCTTCCAGAGTCAAACTGTTAGACCATAACAAAGGTGAAACCACTTGTTCTACCAGAGCTTCCCTGTGCTGTCTCCATCGCTGATATTTGAAAGATGGTCGTTCAGAGCTGTAGTTATGCCTTCATCAAATGTTATTTGAGTACAGAAATCTTCAGGGCTGATGTTGATTTTGGTGTGGTGGTCCCTGTCACTCTTCATGTAGGTAACTCGCACTTCCCCCCAGGTATGCACGAACTGTTTTGAAGTCGCCCACAGTGAGAGTCTGCATATGGACATTACACACTGAACCACCCCAGTTTACCCATACGTGATTTCTTTCCTGCCTGCTGCTGCAGTTGGCATATTAGTGGTACTGATATTCTTATGAAATATCTTTTATGAGAAGTATTCTTTTAACCATCTGTTAGGATTGAGAATATTAGGATTGCTGATCTGCTTCTGGCTTCTCCAGTCCATGTTGTTAGCTGCAAGTGAACCATGACTTCCAAGGTCATTTCGATAAGCCCAGTTATTTATGGCAGTCTGGTTAGGAAGGGGACCAGATTTATGCAGCTGTTTAATTCTGAAAATGGCATTTCAGGGCCTTGTCATTTTACCAGCAGACTGATAGGTTCGCTTCAGACCAACAGCTGTGTAGGTGAATGAGAATGGATAGAGTCCTTGTGACTGAACTTTTAAAAACTGAAAATGATGCTGTCAAACAAACTAGTTCTTTAATTTAGTCTATGCCAGTAGTAGTAGCAGTTGCTAATCGACTAATTATTTACATAGCCAAATTAAAAAATGAAGCCCCTTTAAATATTTATGAACATGCTCAAATGTAAGTGCACATGGAAAAGTCATTTTTCTAGTGTAAGTAACAAGAAAGAGTTTTGTTGTTTTTATCATTTAATTGCTACAGTTGACACGATGAGAATTACTGCCTGCAGTGTAACAAATATGCTACTTCGGGGCGGGGGGAATCGGTGTACAGTTTTTATGTTCTCAGATGGGAAATAATAAAACTATATTGGTATAGATATAAGTGGCATTCCACTTAAATGTGGACATTTCTTAGGAAAGTCTGCTTTATTTTTACCTTTCACTTAGTAAAGAGTTTGACTATTTGTCTGGCTTCAGGATGCAAAACTAACTTCTAAAAAAATCTATCTTAATTTTTCTTCATGCACTTTTTCTGATTCTTTCTAGTCCCAGTCAAGGCCCCTGCTGTACCGCACTATGTACTTTCAAACTGAAAACTGACAAGTGTCGGAATGATTCCGACTGTGCAAGAGAAGGAATGTGTAATGGTTACACTGCTCTTTGTCCAGCATCTGATCCTAAACCAAACTTCACAGATTGCAACAGACAAACACAAGTTTGCATAAATGGGGTAAGTTTTATGGCCTGAGGTAATGCTACAAATTGTAAAGCAGTGTGACTCCAGTACCTATTGAAGACAGTATTGCAACGGAGTCTTTTCTTAAACTTGGGGGGGGGAAGTGTTCACTTCTCAATTCAGTTAATATCAATGGAACAAGCGACCTCAGCCATTTAATATTTTGATAGCTCAGAGACTAATTAAATAGATTTGCAGAACTAGCCAGATATTTGCAAGGTGCTTTTTAGACTGTGTTTAAGATGTATTCAGTTTGACTCTACAACACGTAGCAAGATGAAAGTTTTTCTACCCTTGTTTTGCTATCAGTCACTTTCTTTTAAAAAAGAACAAGTTTGTTTATTTTGGGTTAATCCAACTTGCAGCGTATGGAAACTTTGCCTATTGTTTTTTAGATGCTTTGGATGTGCTTGCTTGCTTTGGTTTTATAGAAGAGTATACAGATAATTCCTGTGCATGTTATGTTTATTCATATGGAGTAATCCTAGACTCCTAGCACTTCCTTGATTTGCAGAATCCCTGGAAGTAGATGGCTCTCTCTTCATGAATCCGTCACTATGATATTTTGAAGCAAAAAGAAGAGAGATAAAGTCTTCATATTAGAGACTAAGTAACACCTGGCTATTTTTATATCACTAACTTTTCATATCAGGTATATAATGCTGAAACATACCACTCTGCTCCAGATGTAAACCTCTTGACCTGGATGTAATTTATCCATATTAGAATGGTGCCACACACAAGCAAGTTCTAATGAGCTAATTTTGCCCGCTTACAATGCTGCATTAAGGAGACCATTCTGCTTCTGATTCTGGAAGCAGTTTTCACGAAGCAGCATGGCCTGGTTCAGCGTACCACTGTCTTGTACAGTAAGTTAGTAGGATAGGCATGCCCTCATTGTCAGTTTGTTTCTAACAGTCCAGTGTTGGCAAGAATCCTTTGCTGCATGAAGAAAAGTAAGATTTATCTGCAGTCTAGTTATGAATACAGGAGCCAAATGTTCAAACAACTAGTGTCATCTTAAAATGAAGAAATGGCAACAAGATTCCTTTATAAATTCACTTTATTTTGAAGTAGTGTGTTTTTAACTTTACTCTGGATGGTGTACTCTTTTGCTACTGAATTGGATCCTGAGGGATCATCCAGAATTTTAATCACATTTGATAAGATTATTGTGACTGCTGCCTTTTAGAAAGGACAGAATATACATCTAAAATATAAATAAATAAATAAGTTGAATATTCTTACTTTTCCAAAGGAAAACAATTCCAAATACTGTATCTTTAACACTTTTGATCTATTTTTATTTTGTTGAATAGGCATGTCAGTGCAATGGTCTTAACAAATAATTCTTTTTACATATTACAATGCTGTGCATAGTTTTGCAACTGTTTCTTTGCAGGTTTCCATCATTACTTATACCTAAAAGCAACATTAAATATGCAGTACCTCAACCATGAAACTTTAAATTTTCATCCAAATTAAGTGAATCCAGTCTCTTCTTTTACACACTTTACCCAAAAAAGAAAGTAACACTAATTTGTAAACGTCAAAGTAAATGAAAGCCTTTTTTAAAGAAAACATTTTTTTAAGTGAGGCCCTGGACAGACATAATGGTTGAAGCCTTCTATACGTCTTTGAATCTCTCCAAACAGCAAGCCTGCAGATGTGCACAGTCAAAGAAACACTTTAAAAATGATCCTCAAAGAATGAGGAATCTCTGAAATGCTTTCTGAAATGTCTGTGCTCTATGGAGTATTGCTTGGTCCTCCAGTAACCCACAGTTCTCTGCTTCAGGCCGTGTTGTTCAAGTATGAGGGCTGAAGGGATAGGTGTTGCAGAGGGTGGGACAGACAGCCAGTGAGCACTGTGGTTGTTAGGGCTTTCCAGGCATCACAGCGGCATGCATGAAATCCATCTCTCCAGCCCCTAGGAGGGAAGGATGCCTCTGCTGCTTGGCCTCTGGAACCAGAAGAGTCTGAAAGTGGAGTGTTCATTGGCTGTCTGCCCCCTCTACCCCCCCCCCCCCCCCCCTTTCTCCC